TCCTTTCTCACCGGATCCAGCCTCGTGCACCCAAGGCCTTGCCCACTGGTCATTGCAGATCTCTCAGGCCCTGGCTCCGAGGTCCTCCCGGCTTTCCGCACACACCTGTCACCAGGTACACTCCCCGATCCTGGGCACTGAGCCTCCTCCTCCCCACCTGCTTCCTCTAGATCGGGTTGCTTGTCACCCGGCGGCAGCCCCGGGCCGGACCTCACACACCCCGGGGCAGGCGGCGTCAGCAGCTCCTCCCAGTCAAAATACTCGGCGCCGAGACCACGGCGGCTCGGAAAGAGGCTCTTGGTCAGGGTTCCGCACGGCGTATCCCAAGAAGAGGTCAGAGTCAGGGGGGCGAGCCAGACCCGACCTCCATTCCGACCCCACGAGACCAGAACCTCTCTCCTGACGCCCGAGTTTCCGCCCGTGCAGAGTTGAAGTGAGGAAGTAGAGCAACTTCCGGCCTGGCTGCTCCACATCCGGAAGCCAGCCGCCGACGGCGCGCATGCGCGTGACATCCCTTCTCTGCAATGGCAAAGCCTGCGGGACGCAGGGACACGGGGAAGGAGCATGCGCAGTGACGACCACTGCCTGTCTCCGGGCCTCTAATGTGAGCACTGGAACCAGAGCCCTTATTGACCTTGGCTCTGGTTTTATAAGTAGATGACTGTTGTCAGGCTGGTGGACAGGAGAGAGAGGGCCAGGGCTGCAGCAGTGAGGGGAGTTGGTCCTTTAGGCAGGTGCGGTCTCTTAAGTACCTTCTCCCAGCCCAACACCTAACAGTGCAGCAGCGAGAGCGACCTGCCAGGCAGGTGGATGTAGGGTTTTTACTCTTCGCCTCCCCACGACACACATGCCCTTTCAAATGAAAACAGGTCGAAATGCCTTCATCAAATCCCCAAACAAACCCATTGCCATGAATTGATTTCAACACACAGTGGACCCTTGCTGAACAGGGTTCAACTGCTCCATGTAGTTTCCATGGCTGTAAACTTTACAGTTGTGGGAGCTGCAAACTTGAGGTTGTTGATTCTCCTTCCTAGAAGACTGTTTACTTGTTTAAAGCAGAAAGCCTGAGAAGAGTTAAGTCCCAAATTCTGTGTAACCCTCCACCAAATTATGGCTAGTTGACCCATATATGCAAAAGGAAGACAATTTAGCTTTGCAAATTCAAGAGCTTAGTCTAATTACATGTGATATCAAGATCACATGATTTCTTAGTCTATTATTGAGAGGTAGTTTCTTTTTTACATTTACTGTTGTTAGTATAAGGTTGATTGAAACCACTGATTGCTGGACTTCTTGTTACTGAAAGCAAAGAGTTCTTTCTGTAGTCACTTGCCAGTAAGACGGAGTGCAATATCCACAGCACTTTATTGCAGATCTGGGAGGACAGCAAGATTCCCGTTAAAAACTCTCCCTATCTGGGAATGGTCATTAGTTTTTATACTTGGGTTTGATACTAATTTACTTAATAATACATTTTTATTAGTAAAGTAACAGAATTTCTACATTTAAAGGCAGTTCATATACAGTTACTAGTAAACAGGCAACTTATAAACTAGTTAACATAAGACTGAAAAAGTTTTGAAAGGTAAATGCTAATCCAGGTTAAGATAAAATTTACATAGGACTGAGAAAAAGAGTTTCAAAGAGGTAAATGCTGATCTAGGAAAGATGCATTTCCTCTCCTTGTAAACAGGCAGTTTAAAGTACTTTACATGACTAAAGAAAGGAAAAAAAAAATTCTAAGGCAAAGTGAGAAAATTTGTCAGTTTTATTATCTAAACTGGTGTTTGGCTAATTCAGAATGTATTAATACTACCCTATTATTCTGATCCTACCTGAATATACTGTGTTCCAGGAAATACTAAATGACCCGATTAATGATTACCCCTAGATACGGTTTTATGACCAGTCCAGGAGGTAGTCAATAGCTAAAACAAGGTGTAGTTGGAAAATAGGCCCAGAGCCTTGAAAGGGCTGTGACTACTCCCAGCTAGCCAAGATAGAGAGGATAAACCCCCTACTCTTCTGTGTCACAGGCTGACACCACATTGAGCCCCAGCACACTTTTCACTGAAGCGTGCATTTTAAATAAAAGCATACTTGCTCTACACTCAGCTTGTGTTACTTCTGGACTTCGTGCTATGTTTGGACCTTTCAGTTGGGTGCCAGAGTGTTGATTTCTTTACTTACAACAGTAGCACTGCTCCATAAGGTTTTCTGGACAGTAATTTTTACAAGTCGAGTCTTTGTCCTGTGGAATGCCTGGATGGATTCAAACTGCCAAACTTTGTTAGAACGTGAAGTCACTGTGGTTAATTTTTGGAATTATGAATAATAAAGCATGTTTTATTCCACTTAATCATTTTTACAAGTTGTTGTTGTTATGTGCCGTTGAGTTGCTTGCGACTCATAGCGACCCTATGTACAACAGTGCTAAACTCTGCTCTATCCTGTGCCAATCACAGTGCCTCTGACACACCCATCCTGATAACCCCAGTCACTGAATCAATCCACCTCATAGAGGGCCTTCCCCTCCTGTGCTGTCCCTCCACCCTCCCAAGCATGATGTCCCTCTCCAAGGACCAGTGCCTCCTTACAACATGTCCAAAGTATGTCAGACAAAGCCCCAGAATCCTTGTCTCCAAGAAGCAGCCTGGTTTAACCCTCTCCATTGTTAGGGACCTCTCCAAAGTACTGAAGAGCAATGGTGTCACTCTGGAGACTAAGGTGCATCTGATACAGGCCATGGTCTTTGCAATCACTTGTTATGTATCACAGAGTTGGACAATAACTAGGGAGGATAGAAGGAGAATCGATGCCTTTGAGCTGTGGTGCTGGAGAAGAATACTGAAAGTACCATGGACTGCCAAGAAAAAAGATTCATCCTGGAGAAGGTTAAACCAGGCAACTCGACGGCACATAACAACAAAAACAACAGGATGAATCTGTTTGTTTTCCTAGCAGTCCATGGTTCCCTCAATACTCTTCTCCAGCACCACAGCTCAAAGGCATCAATGCTCCTTCTATCCTCCCTAGTCACTTGCATAACAAGTGATTGCAAAGACCATAGCCTGTATCAGACACACTTTTGTCTCTGGAGTGACACCATTGCTCTTCAGTACCCTGGAGAGGTCCCTAACAACAGACTAGAGACAGAAATCCACGGGCAGAACCGGGGGCAAGCCAATAGAGAAGCAACTCCCGGGAAAAACCTTGCCACACCCACAGGTACAAAAGGCCTGGGCTGCGGGGCTTTTACAAATTAAACTGTTAAAAAAAAAAAAAAAGGTAAGAGAAGCATCAATGTTAAACATTTTAAAAAAAAGGTTTCCAGGGAAGGAGGGCGGGAACAGTGTGGAATGTAGAGGATAAAACAACTGCAGGACTGGGGCCTTGTTATGGACCAAGTGCAATGAAGTGCTAGGGAATGGAAAAATAACTCAAAGCCCTTCACCTAAAATCCAGTTAAATAGGTAACCGCAAATCATCCTACCAAGTTTAGTGCTTGATTTTTGATTGTGATTTATCAGAGTTCAAAACTGATTCTGTCCTATTTCATCATATTCTGAACATCCTCCACCAGTGAAGTCATCCAAAGAGAAAGGCTAGAAACAATTTTTCCACATCCCACTTCCACCCACTTCCAAGAAATCTCTTTTATACTCCAGCATGTAAGGGAGCTCTCAGGCCTCGTGGTAAATAGTTGTCGCCTACTCTAAAGCACGCTGTTGGAAGCTGCTCCGTGGTAGGATGGGCAGTCTCCTGTGCCATCAACTGCCTCTCAGACCTGCTGGAGGGTTGGCTGCGACTCCTTGGTACACAACAGCAACGTTACGTGCAGTCTATGACTCATAGCGACCTACGAACACACCTGAACCCTGCACGGTGGGTCCTCACATCTCTGATGTGTTCAAGGCCATTGTTACTTTGTCAACCCATCTTGCTGGGAGTCTTCCTTTCTCTCTGAGCTTATTTTCCCAAGGACAGGCCCTTCCTGACAACACTCCCAAAGTTGAGGAGACTTCACAGTCCTTGCCTTTATGGAGCACCCTGATTGCACTTCCTTCAAAACAGGCAAACAAAACCCCAGACTTGTTCTTCCAGCAGCATCTGAATATGCCAAGAGTATACTCAGCACTCTGGTCAGCTCCAAAGGCATTGATTCTTCTTCAGTCATCCTGATGCATCCAAATTTCAGATGCATAGGAAGCAACTGAACAGGCCTCCTGGAGTCTTAGTATGTCTTCCGGACTAAAATAGCCGCTCCACTGAACGCAAGCATTGTCGGTTAAGGCTTTGCTTTTCCTGCTCTTACCTGCCCCACTTATTGCTGCCTGGAAGGATTAAGGAGCAACCACCACTATTTTACCCGCCCTTGAATTCCAGGAACAGTGGAAGGGGGATGAAGGAAATCAGTTTTGCCTCCTACTCTTTCGATTTTCAGTAATTAACTTTGCAATGATCCCTAATTCCAGGAATAGTGAAAGAGGGAGGAAGGTAATCAGTTTTGTGTCCTACTCTTTTGATTTCCAGTAATTAACTTTCCATTGATCCCTAAGGGCTCAGTGTCTTTGGGGATGTTTTCAGGACAGAGAATCTGAGGCTGGCAGCCGGATAGTTTCCTGCTGGGGGGGGCAGACATCTGGGAGGCAACTGGGAGGGGTCAGGAGGCCTAGGGCGCCAAGAGTCAGGGGCTGGCAGGGCAGGGATGACCACCAGCCAAGAGCTCGAGCGAGGGCCCCGTGGAGGACTCGCTGAGAGTCAGGGGATGACAGGGGGCCCCACCAGCCGAGAGCTCGAGCGGGCCCCGTGGAGGACTCGCCCCGCCGATTGTCCGGGGATGACAGGGATCCCCACCAGCCGAGAGCTGGAGCGGGCCCCGTGGAGGACTCGCCTCCTCCCAGCCCGGAGCGCAGCCCAGGGGCGGGGACTGCGCGTGCGCGGCTGGGCGCCGGGACGCTCTCGTCCTCCTCGTCTTCGCGGTCCTCGTTGGAAGGATGAAGGCCGGGGAGGCAGTCGGAGGGGCGGAAGGCGAGGGGCAGGGGCCGCAGAAGCGGGGACTCTGCGTCCTCTGCGGCCTCCCGGGCGCGGGCAAGTCCACCTTCGCCCACACCCTGGGGCTCCGGCTGCGCCGAGAGCAGGGCTGGGCCGTCGGCGTGGTCTCGTACGATGACGTCATGCCGGACGCGTTCCTCGACGAAGCGAGCGCACGACCATTGGCTGGAACGAAAGGGGCGGAGTCATTGGTCAGTGTGGAGGGGTCTGGGCCAATGGCAGTGCAGAGGGGCGGAGCCTGTGCTGTGCTCGCAAAACCCCGCTTGTCCCAGTTTTAGGGGTGCACGATCCAGTACCCCGGCCCCACAGTGACCTTTAGACAGATAGAACCACAGTTTCCAAGGGTGCAAATCTATATGGATGTAGACAGCTTCATCTTTGTTAGATTCATTGTCTTGCGCGTCCACGAATGCCTGGTGGGGGACTTTGACAGAAAGGTGGAGATGTTTTATTGTTAAGCTGACTTTTTGCATGATGTAGGCTGCTTCATCTTTGTCCCGTTGTCTGTTGCATTCATTCTCTTGTCCGCGAATGCCTGGTGGGGGAATGGGATCTTAATAGAGATTATGAAACAGAAGTTCGAGAAAAGTGGAGATATTTTATTGGGAAACTGACCTTTTTGCATGACGTAGGGTAGCAGGGAGCACAGATGACTGCTCTACTGGCCAAAGTCCAATATCAATGCCAACTATTCGGTCTTTTGTAGCCCTCCCAGTGGAAATTGCTTCGACAGGAGCTGTTGAGATACCTGGACTGCTTCTTGATGGCTGTCATTAACGAGTGTCAGATGTCAGCTCCACACAAGAGAACTGAAGCCATGTGGGATGGTTTTATTACCAGCTTAAAGGATCAAGATCTGTTGTCTTCTGCAGCTCCCGAGGACCCATCTTGTTACCACTTAACGAAGACTGCTGTTTCCAGACCTTTGTTTTTGGTTTTGGACGACAACTTCTATTATCAAAGCATGAGATATGAAGTCTTTCAGTTGGCTCGGAAATGTAATTAAAACATTGTTTTCTTACACATGAAGACAGTTATTCTGCATATCAAAAGCACTATCCTCTCCAGTGAGGATTCAATTGGGTTAGGAAATTGATAAAGATATCCTTATTTTTTAAAGATGTTCATTGTCACAAATTTCCTGCTTTAAAGATTGAGTGAATTGGTCTCAAGTGTATTTAGTTCACATTTTGGGGAAAGTGCACCAGTAATTTTGTAATTTTTAAATGGTTTTCAGATTCATTAGGCTTTTGCCAGCTCTTTCTGGATTGTCCTCTTGAGACCTGTTTGCAGAGGAATGGCCAGAGGGCGAGGACACTGCCCGCAGAAACCATTCACCTGATGGGAAGAAAGATAGAAAAGCCCAGTCCCTCCAGAAATACCTGGGAACACAACAGCCTCACAATCCAGAGTCCAGCACGTTCTTCTGAAGTCAGGTACGCAAATCAAAGCTATCTTTTCATTCACTCTGTGCTGCTCTTGTGCCAGGCACTGTGCTGAATGCTTTACCTGTGTTGATAGTCATTAGACTTTGGAAAGATACTGTTATCACTTTCCTCCCCACCTTTGTTCCTTTGTTTCCAAGTTACTGAACTTGCAAGTAGCACAGGAAATTGAACTCAAAATTTATTTGCAAATCATGTGCTCTTTAACAGTTGGGATTGGCTCCCAGAAGTCAGATCAAGAATTTTAGAATACGTCTCTGATGTTGTTAAGTGCCTCTGAGTTGGAAATTACTCATAGCTGACCCTCCAGCAGCTTATTAAATTGCACAGAAAGATGGATACTGCCCATCTTTTCCCTTTGAGCATCTGGTGGATTAGAACCTTGTGCCTTCAGGTTGACAGCACAGCTCCTTAACCGCTAAGTCACCAGAGATCTTTGATACTCTTGCTATGATTCCACCAGTTACCATGCCATGGGTTGAGACACATGTCTATCTCATGAGCAGATGGCGCTCTGTGGTGCTTTTCAGTGGCTGGTTTTTCACCTGTAGATCTCCAGGCTTGTCTACTTGTGCTTAAATAGTCTTGTTTAAGTGAGTTGCCACATAGTTTTTTCATGGAAGATTCCCTTTTCAGTGTCAGGTCATCTTGGAGGTTGAAATTTAACTTTATGAACTACTGGCATAAAATTTTCAAGGTTACCTCCTGCATTTTGTGTAAAAGCCAAATTGTATTTTTTATTCCATGCTCTAACCCTGATTCATTCTTAAGCCTTGTCTCCTACCACTCTCTTCCACTGCTTTACAGCTAAACTAGCTTGTTGTTGCCCACCAGGCTTTTTTGCTGGTGGCCTCTCTTCCCACATATTTACGCTTGGATAATTCCCTGATTTACCAAACTGAATTGAAGACTATTATTAATTCAATTACCCAGTCACAAGGGAGTTCTGGTGGCCTAGTGAGTACCAAATTGTACTTCCAAATGCTCAGAGGGAGAAAAGGGCTCTCTCCTGTATAGTTTATGACCTCAGAGAACAACCACCAATCACATTCTCTCATTACCACTTTATTGTCTTCACACACTTATCAGTGGCTTAAATTTTTAGTGTACTTGGTCCTTTTTTACCCGTCACTCTCCATTACATGGTGAAGCTTGAAGAGGCAAGGCATCTTGTTACTCCTCTGCAGCTCAGCACATAGTTTCAAATAAGTGGTTACAGAAAACCTTCTGTGGAACTAGAACAAGTGGAGAATACTGCTAATCCACAGCCTGTAAATTCACAGAGGCTAAAGAGTTAAGACAGAGCATCTTTCTTTAGGAAAAAGTAGAGTGCTGGTAACTATAAGGGAGCACTTGGTGGCTTAGCGGTAAGGAATTGTGCTGCCAACACTGAGGTTTGTGGTTCAAATCCACTAACTGCACTGCAGGAGAAAGATGGGCAATCTCCTGTGCTTTCCCTGCCTAAGAAAACATGCTTGATTCCAACTTCATGGTATATAACAACATAAGAAACCTACAGGCTCAGTACTTAGGAATCTTGGGAAAGGAGTGTTTTATAAGCAAGAGTTGTTTGGAGTTTTGTTGGTGGTTTATTTTTTTGGGGGGTCGTGTCTAATAATTTGGTTTGCACTTCCACATTTCAAGTAGAAGGTAAAGTCTGAATCATTTCATTTTTAGGGTTTTCCCAATCTCAGATTACAGCACTTCCAATCCTTTAAAATTTTTAAATATTCTTAAGTATAAGTTCTTTAAAAACCAATGTTTGGCACTGGGTTTCTCCGTTTTGAATCTTTCCCTTACAGCCAGGAAGTGACTAGTTTACTGCTTACTGCTTTGGAAAATCCAGTTAAAAATGTTGAGGATGACTGGGAACAGAAGGTAAGTCTCCCAGCGAGGATTTAGTGTAAACGAGAGACTCCTTATCACCACGTCACAACCTAGTCATAGCCAACCCTCCAGCTGGTTTCCGGGGCTGTTAGTCCTTTGCGATTACCTCTTCTCCAGAGGAGCTGCTGGTGGATTCAGATCCCCAGGGAAGCGTGGCCTTTGGATCAGCAGTGCCACTCCCTAGGGACTAGAAGGAACAGCTTATCTAAGCTCTTTAGAGCTGAGTGGGTGACACTAGCTGTGAAATGTGAACTTGAGTGTTGCTGGCTCATTTCTCCAGCATTTGGCCTTCACTGAAGACTCATGGTGCTGCCCTGGTGGCAGGCCTGACAGAGGCCAGAGCAGATTATTTTCCATTTTACTGAATAATGCTGGACCCAGTTAACAGCAGGCTGGTACTTTGAAATGAGCCAGGATAGGAATATTTGTTGTTGTCATTATCATTAGGTGCTGTCAAGTGCAGTCACAATGACCCTGTGAACACACCTGATCCCTGCCCTATTCTGTGTCTTCCTCCCCATCCCTGACACACTTGAGCCCTTTGCTCAGTTACTATAGCAATCCATCTCACTGAGGGGCCTCCTTCACTGACCCTCCACCTTTCTAGGCATGATGTCCATTTCTAAGGAATAGCTTCTTCTAGCAACATGCCCAAAGTATGAGATGAAGCGTCAACAACTTAGCCTCCAAGAAGCATTCTCACTGCACTTTTCTCAAGACCTATTTGCTTGTTCTTTTAGCAGTCCACCATCCTTATTCATTGTCCACCTCTCAGGCAGAGGGATTAGAAAGACCATGGCCTGAATCAGGCACATCTTAGTCTTCAAAAGCTCAGTGCAATCCCATCTCCTGACTGCTGCTTCCAAGATTGATTGGTGGTTGATCTATGTAAGAGGAAACTTGACACCTCAGAATTTAGCAAACATTACAAGTACAGGTTCTGCTGTTTTCTCCTCCCGAGCCAGTTTGTCCCGTAGTCCTCATCATACTACTGCCTAGCTGGAACCCTGCTTAGAACCGGTCTCATTTCAGACCTTCTCTCTCTTAGGGAAGGAATAACTGAGATAGAACAGTTCTAACTTTCCTTTCAGTCCCTGCCCTGAAACATCCAGTACACTTTAGCCATCTCTCTCTCTTACAAACTAATCTGTTCCAGTAACATTATCTGTATTACATAGGAAACGGACCGAATTATTTGTTCAAGTAATACTCTTCATCAAGTGGATCAGATGCTCCGAAGAATTGTCTCTCAGACAATGAAGGAAGCAAAAGGTATGTCGGCAGTTATGTGCTGCTCGCTTAGGCTGACCACCAGCTAACCCTGTGCATCTGAAATGAAGTTTACTAGCATTTCACCAGTTTAAATCACCTTTTTTAAAAATATGTGAGAATCCATTTAGCAGCAGCTACTACTGCCACCAGCTCAGTTGTGATTTGTAAAGTATCACTGACTTGTGTGAAGAGTGAGCCAGAGTGGTGCCATTACACAGGGCCAGATTGACTGTGTCCAAGTAACTGGAGGATGTCTCTTCCTTTTAGATGAGCACGTGCTTCCGCACGTTATGAAGCTGCTAGCAGAAGACCTTAACAGGCTCAAAGCAGAGTTTCTGGAAGATCTAAGACAAGGAAGCAGGAGTCATCATTGCTTTGAACAAGCCATGTACATCGCCGATGTCCTAACATCTTTTCATTCTGAGAAAGATAGTATTGTACAGAAGTATTTTTCAAAGCAGCACTAAAATTTCTGAATTTCCATCCAAATGTCTGGTGCTGCTCAAATTTTAAATTCATTACAAACAGTAATTTGGTATTGTTCTTTTCTAGGTCAGTGATGTCAACTGCCAGAGAGCAGTTTTACACCAAAATCAGTCCGTCCCGGAAGATCCACTGGCCGTAATAAATGAACTAGTTCTGTAAGTTGTCAGGATCAATCAGAACTAGCCTGATTCTTGCCAGAAGCCTCTCATTAGGACTGGGAGACAATAGTTCAATGGTTTTTGACTAGAGAGAGGAAATAAAGAAGGCATGTTTATATGTAGGGACTTGTTTTAAGCTGGAATAGATGTTGTAGGTAAGGCATTCTGGATATTCAAACCAGTATAGCCATAAAACGTTTTCTTTAGTTAAAATTTATATCCCAGAAAGAGACTAATTTGATCCTAGCTTTCAAAAAAGAAAAATCGAGGTCATTAGAAAGTGTTATTTTTTTTTATTCATATATTACAAAGGCAAAGCTTCACAACATAAACTACATACTAGATATAGTTATATCAGCATTAAACTCTTTCTGGAATCCCTAGACAATATAATGTATTTTGTAACCATAACTCAAGTTCTATGTTTTGCATACAAAATATGTTCTTTACATCAAAGTACATATTAACGAAAACAAGTTCTAGAAAGCATATACCCTCTAAGACTATTTAATGAAAAATTTCTTAGCAGGGAATTTTTTAAAATTTTTAATAATACATCCATTTGATAAACATTTTCTTAAACTTAAAATCAAGTTTATCTCTGAACATTTTTGGTAATACTCCCTTTGTCAAGCAATTCTGCAAATGAATGGCAAACACATTTCTAAAATGAAACAGCACTGGAAAATACCCAATGGAATTTTTCAAAGTAAAAGTTGAGCTTTCACTTGAATTCCAAGAAGTTGTAGCCACACACTACATTAGTAAATTCTCAGATAAAATTATTCCCTGTTAATCTTGTCACAGTTTTTTAAAAAAATAGTAGTGGAGATAAATTATCTACCAACTTTAAAATCTAAACTTATGTTCACTGAACAAAAATAAATTTAGTTTCAGAATATTGCCTGTTAACAGCAAAGTACTATAAATAGTGCATGTTAAGCTTTTTCCAACAAATCATTTTTATACAATATTTGATTTTAAATGAGAAACATATTAAATATTTAAGGGAAGATACTAACATCTTTCCAGATACAGCATTTAACACACAATTATTTAAATAAACTCCTAAATTTTTTTTAAAAAATACAATACCAAAAGTTTTTCTAAGGTAGATTTGCTTCAAAATTCTTAGTGCATTTAGAACCATAGCTTGCAAGCACTGACAGCTTTGGGATACCAATTAATTGTGCGCCAAGTCATAGGAAGAATTATATACTCTAGTTTATAGCTTTGAAAAACAAAAATTATTTTCCATGTTAAAATGAAAAATGCACCTTTAAACATCCACTTTAGCTGTCAGGGTTAAAAACGGTATTTGTCACTATTTGGCCCAGATACAGAGTTAACAAAAGACTTTTTCCTCTTTAATGAGTATTTTCATTTTCTATTCTGGAGTATTGCTTTTTATTTGGAGGATAAAATAGAAACCATGAAAAAAAATCATCTCAAAAGCTTCTGAAGGACAGTGACCTAGTGCTTGCTGGTAATAAATACGCAAGGCAAATTACGCATTTGGAGATTGCTACACTAAAAAGGATTTAAGCAACAGAGTGAGACAGAACTGTAGGGTTTTACACTCACAAGCTTTAGGTTAGACAAGAGAGTGAATGTCAGAAACTGTCCTTGACTGAAATACGCAGTGGGGATCAGATTGGATATTTAACCACAAGAACCCATCCTAACGGCTTTCTACCATCGGAATGGAAGGCAGCGGGCCCATTAAGTCGGCATGTGGGCTTTCTGTGGTATCTTCCTTAAATTTATTGTACGGGCAGAGGTCCTTTTTGCTAGTTAGGTAATAAATTATTAAATGCTAGTTAGTTAAGATAATCTAAAGAAGCCAATTAATAGCACTTACAAGATTTGAATCACATAACTTTTTTTTAAAGTACACAGAAGCCAACAGTTAGCAACAATATATTTTATTGACAAAGCTATTTTTCAGAGTATGCTAGTTATTACACAATATAAAAACAAAAGCCTCCTATTCAAATGACTCTAGATCTATTTAACAAGTCTTATTTGTGTAAACAAACATGAAGATTAAATGCATTTTACATCCATTTTCACACCATTGTGTCCTTTCCTACTGAGTTGACAATTCAATCACAGTTTCCATAGTTTTGTAACTAAAAATGAAGCTGGGTAAGACTGTCAGTAAGCATTACAGTTTGAATTTACAGAGATGACTTAAAATGGCTAATTGTGAAGGAGACACCAGGGTCCACTGTGAACACAACATCTCCTGTTTTGCAGACAGTTCACACACCCCTGCCCCGTGTGTTCCTGTGTCCGAAAAAAGGGCATAAAAAGAAGAGAAGGCTAGAAAAGGAAGCCTCCAGGATTTTTTTTTAAAAGACTGGCTTTTTTTTTTTAGGGTTAATGTTATGGATGACGTTCTATGATATGTACCTCTTTGGTCATCAAAGGAATGGGAGGAATCACCTCACCCAATGCTAGTGACATCAGATCTGGAGGGTTTAAATGAGGGGCGAATGAAAAGGAAAAACCAAAACAGGCCTCCTCATAGCTCATCCTCTTCCTCTGAGCACTGATTTTGAAAGTAAGTGGCACATGTAATGAAAAGAAGCCGGCAGAGCACTGACACGAGAAATTAAATGCACCTTAATTATTAACCCCCAATATCTTCATGTGTGAAGCAAACAGATAAGACATTTTCAATGTTAGAGACTTGGGTTTAATGTCTTTTTAGAACTTTTATTTATTCATAACTTTCATATAATTCTAACTTTCATTTAAAAAATAAAGACACTGCTTTGTATTTTTCCTATATATGGAAAAAAAAGATTTATTACACTGAAATGGCTTCAGCTATGTCCACTGAAATAAAACTATTGCTTCAACTTAAGCTATGTGAATTCAACAATATTTCAATTTGGAGGAAATGAAAGGCAACTCCCCTACCACACACAGAAATACATTTTAACAGATTTTCTGGAAGAAAATCCTCTACTATTAAAAATGAGATGTAGCTGCAATGTATAGTTGAAATACCAAGAGACATGATACACCTTGAAGTTTTTATGGACCATAAATGTAAAAATTCAAATGAACATATACAAGATGAAGACCAGACTCCAATTCTCAAATGTCTAAATGAAAGGAAAAATCTTGACACCAACCTGTTCAAATGTTCTAGCACATAAATGACCCTGGCTAGATTTTTAGAGGGAAAAGGAGGTGGTAGATTTTTGTTTCCACAGTCAAAAGTCTATAAATACAATGCATAAAGTTTAAATTAGCAGACATAAGGGATAATCTAAAGAAAACCAAAACCAAAACCTCACAAAACATAAAACCGGCAAAAATAAAGCATGATAACATTGTTTTCAATCAGTGTTGGTTATGCTGCCCTCTTGCAAAATGACAGGCAAAATCATACTTGTTTTTACATTTGCATCCACATATATTACACTGGAAAGGGTTTTCGTAGCCGTGACATCCCATATGAATAGTGTAAAGAATATTGTCTGCAAAATACATGTCACAGTGCTGGCAGTGGTGCAGAAGCTGAGGGTCCTGGACCGGCAGGGTTGGGACAGGAGTGCTTGGTTGGCTGTTTCCTAGGCTGGGAGTGCTGGTGTGGGCACTTGGTTCGCTGCTGGGCCCTGCCACTGGACTGTAGTTCCTTTGACTGTGTGGTGGCCGAGGGTCAGGGCTTGTGGGAGAGGAGCTCTGAGGGATGCTGGCTGACACAGCAGAGACGACCGCTTGGGCCGAGGGCTGCTGAATCAGGAAAGGCTTTTCATCGGGGCAGGACACCACATCAGGGGATGCAGGGTTTTGGTTTTCAGGCGGCAAACTGGACAATTGTCCGGCTAGAGTTGAGAGCTGGTTTAAAGGGTTGTCGACCATGAGCTCTTGGGGGTCCCTTGGGAGGCCGCCGGTGGGGGTGTTCTTCGCCATCGTTTCATAAGCGTCAGTCTGGAGGGTGGGGAGCTCATGGGTGAAATCATTTAGGTAGTCTGGTTTCTGAACCACCATGGTGGGTGGACTTAAGTTGATTAGCGCTCGTCTGCTATAGCCCAGATTGCTTGTTTTCTTTTGCAAAACACCCCACATCTTCTTGCTGCCCAAGGAAGACCTAGTCCCTTTAATTGGTACCATTTTATGCTTGCGCCGTCGATGATGGGACAGGTTGCTACGGTCACTGCAGCGGAAGGAGCATAATTCACATTTGTATGGTTTTTCTCCGGTATGAGAGCGCATATGGGCTTCCAGGTGACGCTCGTAAGCGGATGCAAATGGACATAAGTGGCACCTGTGAGGCTTCTCACCTGTTTAAAAGAAAAAGCAGGAGAGAGCTGCAAGAGACGTTCATTTATCAAACTTTTCAGGTCTGTCCACTCCCAGGATTTAGAAACTGATCAAAACATTCAGAAACCCCAGAAAAAAAAATGTAACAGGCCTATAAGAGGAATGCTATGGCTCTCATCTACACAAGATTGTCACAATTTATAAAGAAATCTGCAAACTTAAGGCTGAATTTCGTCAGCAACAATTTCACACACACACACACTCACTCTCTCTCTCTCTCTCTCATAAAATACATACACCTCCATCCACCTAGTACTGTTCTAGCCGTTTCCAATTATCTTTTCCAGTATTTTGCTATTAATGATATTGTTCGATAATTTCCACGTTCTGTTGGATCTCCTTTCTTGGAATGGGAACAAATATGGATCTCCTCCAGGCAGTCAGGCAGCTATCGCCAACAACAATGTATTTCACCCTATGGGATACAGACTCCCAGCGACCCATGTATAACATCTCTGAAGCTTGCCCTGTCCCGAGACACATCTACCCCCTACTGCCCTAGTTCTGAATCAATCCATCTCATCTGGTGTATTCCTCTCCTGCACTATCCCTCCACCCTTCTGAGCATGATGTCCTTCTCTAAGGACCAGTCTCTCCTGGCCACATGCCCAAAGTACATGAGATGGAGCTCCAATTCCTAGCCTCTAAGGAGAAACGTGGTTTCACTCTCTGTAAGACAGCGCTATTTGTTTTCATGGTTGTGTTCAAGACTCTTGTCCAGCACCACAACTCAAAGGCATTGATTCCTCTTCTGTCATCCTTCCTGACTCACTGTGTCCAGCTTAGAAAGGAATTGTGAAGACTGTGGCCTGGAGATATCTATGTGCACAAGTATAGCTACACCATTCAACATATTATTTACACAGACACATACACACTCCCCCCCACCTTGGGGAACACAGTCCCTCTCCCCCTCCCTCCAATGCTTTAATAGATGATGGTAGTACACATCTGGAAGGTGGGATTTTCATCATTCATTTAGTGCTAATGTTCTGTTTGGAGGTACAAAGAGGACCCTGATACACTCCCTGTCTTCAGGAAGACTTAAGGCCACCACAGTACAGCCCAGGACATGCTGAGGCAAGCGCAGGGTGCCAGAGAGTACACGGCATGGACACCTGGGCTGGTCTTGGGCACAGTCAAGGTTTCTTAGAAGGATGGCTAAGGTGGGGCCTGAGAAATAGAGAACAAGGTACTCCTCACTTGTTGATGGGTTTGGTTCCCAAGACCAAGTCGCCATACAAAAATGGAAAGTGACTACATTATATAACTGCCAACGACTGAGAGTCACAGCCCAGTCAAGGTGACACATAACCATGACCCTCACAGCCACAAACCTCCTACCTGGGTGTCTGTTACTGCCAGACAGATGTCCAGTGGTAACACACCAAATAGTTACTCAATAGATTTTTTTTTAAATGTTGCTACATATGCAAAACGGTGGATAATGAGAGAGTTGGCAAGTGAAGAGTAGGTGAAAAGTAATTTTCCCCTTTCTGCCACAGAAATATATTCAGTAAGGATAAAGAACCTTTTATCACCTCACACTGCTTCCAACTTTAACCTGCCCAATGCCAGAAGCTGTGACATTTTGTGGCTGAGGAAAAGGAGAAGCCCTCCGTGGACTCAGAGTGGAAGGTGGCTAGGAAAAGGGAAGCTCTGCAGGGATCTCACTTCCCACCTGTGCATGTGCAGTTACACTACAGTCCTTAAACAATACAGTGACTTCCCCATTTATTCATACCCTTCATCAGACTTAAAACAGCAGATTATCAGCTATTTCCACTAAACATCGACCTGCCTGCTGGCTCTCCCTGACCCTGAAGGAGTGCCCTCTCCCGTGGCTCCCCATTACCTGTGTGGATTCTAATGTGCTCGATAAGCCGGGCTGTCCCCTTGCTGGCATAGTTGCAGTACCGACACTTGAGCTTCCCATCAAAGGTCCTTTCAAACCCGTCTACTAACATTCCTGAGTTGTCATCCAGGGAAACTTCAACAGATGGGTGATCAAGTCCATTTTGATCACCATCTGTTCCAGCTATAAACAAAGTACAGGGAAAGAAATTATGCATCTCAGAATCAACTCAATTTAGCATTATGGTTTTCAGTGGTGGAAAATTTTTCATAAATTGACAGTTTACTTACCACAAAATTTAACTCAAAAATATAACGCAGACTTTCTGAGCTATGGCTGATTTCATACAAAAGTCCTATTATATTGTTTTTGAGAACCTTTTAGTAGGGGAATCCCAAATGACTTACATGTAACTGTATCAACCCTCAACCTGCTTTTGGCAAAGTGTAGAATACTGTCCTTACTTAACTGAGGAAACAGGTATAGGAGAGTAAAGATAGGTCCTTTAAGAGTGATGATGGCACAAGGATGAACAAGTGCTTAAGACTCAGTCATGCCTACAAATGTTACAAAACTTCACTTTTGTTTAAAGCAATGTTCAGTTTTGTACTGTTCCACTCTTTATATATGTATGCTCTAGTTTCTGGGCTGAAGATCTTAACATTTTTACTAAACACATGAAGGAGGGTGCTGTGTTTACCATACTCTCACCGCCTCTGAACAGCAGGACTGTGAGAATTCCCAGCCAAGTAGATGTGTGTTGGCTTATTCATACCTGAATCTTGAATTAATCCAATCATTCCTTAGGATGGATAAAGAAACTAAAGGGACAGGTGCTCATACTCAGAACAGTGGGATGGAATCTCTCATCTTTTCACTCCTAGTCCAGGGATCTTGACCCTGGAGTACCGGAGACATCTTTGTTCCTAGAGCTTCATGAGAAAAGGACTTCCACCCCACCCCATACCCAGGACACGGTGCTGGGTGCTGGTGTAAATACCCAAAGCTATGCTCCATTGCCTTCTCTAGTCCTGCCCAGATGAGAAGTGAGCTTGGTGTGAGTCCATCAGCAGGACCATGCAAAGCAGAGACAGCAAGGCTGGGTGTCGCCCTCTCCCATCAGCTGAAGAACTGGAGAGCAGGAAGGGATTTAAGCTGCCAACATTCCAGGGAGACCCAGCACACTGCCAGGCCCTGGGGAGGCCCCTGGGTACTCACACTCCCTCTCAGCAAAAATCTGACATGTTTGGAAAGGGGGGAAATGCACGAAATCTTTCTCAGAAAAGTGGAGTAATCCATGCTAGTGAATCACGGTCTTCAGAGTACAGATAACTACACACAAACATTAACAGTTTTACAAAGTGAATTATTTAATAGGATTAAGATGAGTCTACCTCCCTGAAGAGGCTCTGCTTCTTTGTCCCCACCGACTGATCCAGAAATCATGTTCACATGATGGGTTTGCTGAGTCAGGTATTCCTGAAAATCTTTCACGAAGTCCAACGGCTCGGGCTTCTTTTCACCCATCTTTGCTTCTTTCTTATGTTTACAGTTCGTTAGTCCTAGAAAAAATCTGTAATAATTTTGTACTATTTAGAAGGGTCAACATTTATTAAAACAGTGACCAAAATTATCATATTAAAGACACTAGATAAAGCAACAGAGAACATGATCACGGACTTTAAATACCTCTAGATATTCTCCATAACCTACAAAACACAAACACAAAATTGTGAACTATATATTTTAATTAGATAAACTGGAATTCAAAATTAGTCCCAGAGGATGAAAGAAACTATAAAGAAAAAAGAGGGGGTTGTCAGATAGAAGGGATTGTACCAATTTACACTTCTATCAGGGTGAAATAAGAGTTCTGCCCCCAAGCCCACTAGCATTTGGGCTCATCTTTCTTATCCATTTTAGTAGGTGTGTGGTGGTACCACATTGGCTTTAATCTGTACTTCTTAAAGATTAATAAAACGGTGTACCTTTTTATGTTAATTATACATTTGAGTGCCTGCCTTTGTAAAATATCTAGTCAACCCATTTTTTTTCCACTGTGTTGTCTTGTTCGTGTTAATATGGAAACATTCTTTAAAATATTCTGGGGATGAGTCCATTATTAGTTGCACATACAATCACTATCCTCTCCCGTTCTGTGGCTGCCTTTTTACTTTCTAAAGGTTTCTAATTCTGGTTCAAATTTTTTCCTTTAGATTTAAAGTTGTTTGTGTCTTACTGCATTAATAACAGATGACATAGGCTAATTTCTGACATACAAAGATAAGCCAAGTCCTTTCCCACTTCTCCATCTCTGACACCACCCACCCACGCAGCGTTTCTCTCACTCATCTCATCCCCCGCTAGCCTGAGTTGTGTAAAACGTCTCTGGGCCTCTCTTTGGGCACTTGAAGCTGCACTGTGGGCTCAAGGTTATTCGCACTCAGGTGCTAAAAAGCTGGCTACTCATCAAAGCAGAATGCAGGACATCGTCTAAGGACTGTACCATCTAACTGACCTCAGTGTCCCCAAGATACGGTCCTGAGCCTCCAGACTCAGCTCAGCGATCCATTCCCTCAAGCTGTTTAGTTGCATGAAGTTTTCCTAATTTTGTCTCCTGCATGGTCTACTATGTGGATCTATTTGTAGCACATATAACAATCTATGTAGAAATACTCTGTTAAGACTACATATTCATGGGTGTAGTCCCACATGTCTGCCCACAGCTGTTCAAAGTGTATGTCTATGTATCTGTAAATTACTGTTATATTTTTTCTATAATTATATTTTATTAATTTTCATAAACATTTACAGAGATTTTGGGTTTCCATTCATTCACCGCTGCA